GGGGTGGGATTCTGTAGTGTATGTCTAGTGGGACTCAGAGGTGTGTTTTCCTTATACTTCTGAGCTATTTGCTCTAAGTATGTCCCTTTTATGGGGGTCCCTTTTGTGGGTTCTTTGGGCTCTTCTGTGGTGATTGGGTCTAGATTGTTGTTGACCTGTTCATGGGAGAACTCTCCTCTCAGGTTGACTAATTGTGAGGCTCAGCCAAAATCACATCATGTGAGCTGTTGTACAGGTGCTTACAGGGCAAAACAAAACACAACCAAACTGCCAGGAAACAAACAGTAACTTACAAAATATCCTGACAATCACAATGAAAACAACCCAAGAGAAATTAGAATTAGGAGAGCAAAGCAAGAACACAAATACTAAAGCAGTAAAGAAAGAGAGAAAAGGATATTGTTGCTAATAGTAAAATAAAATAAAAAGTACAAAATAGAGAAGCTCCTGTGAGTTAAAAGGGGCAGAGAAAAGATTCTGAAAGGAAAAAAAGATGAATAAAAAAATAAGGGCAGAGAGTAAGAATAGGAAAATGGTTGAAAAAATGAAAAAATAAGACAAACATAAACAAACAAACAAAAAGACAGGAAGACAGAGAATAAAAGGGGAGAAAAAGAAAAAATAAGAAAAAAAGAAAGTTATGTCAATGGAACAAGAAGAGAGGGAGGTAAAGCAAGGGCAGGAAAGGAAGCCAATAAGAGATACGGAGGAAACAATAGAGAAAAGCAACGAACTTATTGTTTATAATGATAATATCCCAGCAATAAAGCAGAGAATATCAAGAAAGTCTTGATAATAGAACAAAAAACAAAACAAACATAGCAAGACAAAACAAATCCTAAAAATTTAATTGAAAAATTAAAATTTTTTTTTATTTTCCTTCTTTTCCCCTCTCCCAAAAAAAAAAAAAAAGAAAAGAAAATTGTCAACCAGGTGAGTTTCATCTGGGCAGCTTATATTGTCTGAGGCTCATTGTTTTGTATTTTGCTTTCAGGTCTCCTGGGAAGTACTTCAGGTCTCCTGGGTTAGCCAATAGCAAGAGCTGTCTAGGTTTGGCTGTGATGTCCTTATGTAGTTGGCTGGTCTGAGGCTGTGGACCACCTCCACCTGTCAGCTAATTTGCCTCCCCCTTGTGGTTGCCTGGTCTTACTCCAGGGTCTTCTGAAGAGTCCTTAGTGTGCATGCTGGCTAGTATAGCTCAGGATGTTGCTCCCCTTTCTTAGAGGTTTCACTGTCAAACACTCACTGTCGGGAAGTTAGCCTCTCTTTCAAAGCCAACTCCTCAGTCTCCACCATATCCTCCAATTCTAGTTCCCCATACATTGGCCTGCTGCAAGTTCAGACTGAATTCAGTCTGTTGCCTTTTTTGTATGGGCAGTTTCAGAAGCTTGGGCTCAGTGGGTTTGATCAAAAGAATCTCCAGTGAGTATATTGCCTGCCCAGCTCCCAGAAGTGGCTTTAAGCATTTCCTTCAGTTCCCAAACAATAGTCCCTGAGATTCTTATTATTCTCTTGTTGTCCTTTGAGCTGTTCTCCCATCTCCCTGAGAACTATGCCCTGTGGGGGAATACCTGCAGTTTCAGTGAGCTGAACCAGCCCCTTTCCTGTTGGGCATGGTACTCTTAGCTTGAGGGAGAGGTAGGTGTGTTCTGCCCCTCCTTTACCAGGTCTATTGGCTGATCTCACAGGACGCTCAGTTCAAACTCTCCACAATGGAGGCACAAATACCAGCCCTCACTGCTCCATCTCCCCAATGCAAGCCAGGAAGATGGATGCCCATTCAGCCGTCAAAAATGCACAAAACAACAAACAGCAGAGAACCCAACGTGCTAGGTCCTAGTGTAGGAGGAGGGGTCACAAAGTCAGATGCATGCAGGTCTCCTGTACAGCTGACCTCAGTAAAGCTGGGGCACCCCCTTGTGCACTATCCCGGCTCTCTTCAGAGCAGGTCAAAAATCTCAAATTCACCCCACTAGCAGCTCTGGCTGCTAGAATCCTGATCTGGTCCCTTTCTCTGGTGGCAAGAGGGCTCTCTTCTCCTTCCCTGTACCACACAGTTCAAATGCTTTCTGGCATTCTTCATAATGGCTTACAGGAAAGCAGAGGGTCCATGTAGGTGGCTGCTGAGTGCAGCCTTCTGGTCCCTTTCTATTTGGAAACCACACACTGTGGGACAGCCTTTCCTGTGGTCAGCACCCAGGGTGAAAGTGCCCTATCCAGGCTGCCACCATTAGGTGTGTTGTTTCACACCTAATGGCATAGTCCCTTCCTCACAGACACACTGTACCCCTGGCTCCCTCTGCCCACCATGCACAAGCTCTCTTTCCCTTCTCTCCACTATGGGTTTGAGATCCCAGCTTTCGGATGCCAGTCCACACTCCCAAGGGGAGGAAACTTTGCAGCCTCTTACCCTCGGGCCTTGCAGCTGAGCACTGGCTTCAGGTGGGATTCCCCCTTTCTATGTACCCCATCACTTACCAGACTCTATGTTTCTTCAGTGCTCCTTACTAGAAATATGTCCACTCAGGTATAGTTCTCTTGTTTTTCCAAGCTGGCTACGTAGTATTTTAGCTGTAAATCCAGTCTGTGGCTGGAAGCAAGGGTGCTCTGCTTCTTGTCAGAGTGCTGCCATCTTCCTTCTCTCTCTCTCATCATTGATGTTTCTGTCTCTCCCTCTCCCTTCCTCTCTCTCTGAAGTCAATAAAAATATATTTAAATAAAAAAAAAAAA